CACCTCTGCTGAGGGGAGTTGTCGCTCGTTGGCATCTTCCGCTCGTTCAGATGCTCCTTCTCCTGCTACTCCTCTTCACGGATTCCGTCAGCAGTCTTTCTTGGAATCCGTTTCCAAGAGACAACAGTTTGCGAGCACGCACCCGACGGTGCAGAAGCTGAACGTCCTCCTGTCCAAGTTGCTGGTGCTGCAGTCCCTCCCTTTCCAAGTGGTGGACTCAGCACCTTTCCGAGAAATGATGGCTTGTGCCGAGCCGCGGTGGAGAGTGCCAAGCCGGCATTTCTTCGCCAAAAAGGCAGTGCCAGCCCTGCATTCACATGTAGAAGAGATGGTGGGCCAGTCTTTGAGCATGTCGGTCTCTGCCAAAGTGCACGGCAGCGCCGACGTGTGGAGCTGTAACTACGGTCAGGGACAGTACATGTCATTTACGGCCCACTGGGTGAACGTGGTGCCGGCACAGCCGCACCAGCAACTTGGACAGGTCACGCCGCTTTTGCCTCCACGTTTGCACGTCCTTGGTCCAGCAAAGATGTCCGCCTCTACCACCTCTTCTTCCGCCGTGTCCTCAGCCGCCACCCCCCGTGCCAAGTCCCATTACCCGACGGCATATCACATGTGCAGGGCGCAACGGTGTCACGCTGTGCTGCACCTGGTATGCCTTGGCGAACGTAGTCACACAGGGGAGGAACTTCTGAGTGTAATGAACAGAGAAATCGACAGATGGCTGTCTCCGCGCAAACTGAAAATCGGAACCATGTTGACCGACAACGGAAAGAACATGGTGTCTGCTCTGCGTCAAGGAAGGTTGTGCCATGCGCCATGCATGGCTCACGTGTTCAATTGGTTGTCAAGCGGTTCCTAAAATCCACCATCCCACTGCAAGACATCCTTAAAATGTCACGTAAACTTTGCATGCATTTCAGCCATTCCTACACCGCAAAGCACACCCTCCTTGAGCTGCAGCGGCAGAACGGAATTCCACAGCATCGCCTGATCTGCGACGTTGCAACAAGGTGGAATTCAACCCTACATATGTTAGACCGCCTTTACGAACAGCGAAAGGCCATCACCCGATTTCCTGATGTTACAAGCGGATAAAGGTACTCCCCTGTGTAACTTAGATGTCAGCCATTGGCAGCTCATGCGTGACACCTGCTGCTTGCTCAGGCACTTTGAGGAGGCCACGCTATTCGTGAGTCGGCAGGACTATGGGATGAACGACGTCATTCCTCTGTTGCACGTCCTGGAACAAATGCTGTTAACAATGGCTGGTCAGGGTGCGGTAGACGTGGCGCACAGATCTCAACGCCACATGACCCCTGTGGGGGCAGGACAGAAGAAGAGGAGGAGGTAGAGGAGGACATTGGTGCTCAGGAATTATTGAGTGAAATGGGTGGTTTTTCCACTCAGCGGACAGGAGTGGAGGAGCAGGAGCATCTGGTAGAGGAGGAGGAGGAGGAGACAGAGGACCCAGACGCACCGTGGCAGTATGCTGTGGAGATGGAGGCAGGGAGTCCCTCGCATTCCTTGGCACAAATGCCCATAGCATGCTCGGTTGCTTGCGTAGCGACAGCCGAATAATAACCATCAGACAGAGGGATGACTTTTGGCTGTCCACCTTGTTGGACCCTCGCTACCGTTCAAAAATGGTGGCCTTTTTCACACCTGCTGAGAGGGGAGGCCAAAATAAAGTACTATAAAAACCACCTATGTAGTCAGTTGGTCTCTGCCTTTCTGCGCCAACGTCCATCCTCAGACACTGTGGGCCCTGTGCGCTCGCGTTCCGCTGCCATGGCAGCAGGGGAGGGGTGGGGTGGTAGGAGCAGTGGCAGCTCCACCAGCAGCGGCTGCCTCAGTCTGCAGTCGATGATGAGTAGCTTTCTTCACCAGCGCAGTGAGGAAACTACTAACCAGCCGCAGCAGCAGCAGCATCAGGTGGACCTGGAGCAGGACCTCAAAAACAACAGGCTTGGGCCTACTTGGACAGCACCCTGCCAACCGAGGTAGACAATCCCCTTGACTACTGGGCAACGAAACTTGACCTTTGGCCCCAACTAGCTGAATTTGCCCTTGAAGGCTGTCATGCCCGGCCAGTAGCGTGGCATCGGAGCGCGTGTTTAGTGCGGCAGGAGGTATTGTAACTCCGCGGAGGACACGACTGTCCACCCAAAGTGTGGGAGAGACTCACGTTTGTGAAAATGAATCAGGCGTGGATTAGTCTGGATTTCAAACCACCAGTTCCTGACACAACTGACCTAATAACCTAGCCGTTCAGGCCGCTCCCTGAACACCTCGGGAATTGCTTTGTATATCTGTCGCCTTAGAGGCCGCTGTCTGAACAGCTCATGAATTGCTTTCTATATGTGTCGCCTTTGAGGCCGCTGGCTGGACAGCTGATGAATTGATTTGTATATATGTACTTATTGTCCGCTGTCCGGACAGCTCATGAATTACTTTTTGTATATAGCCTTCCAAACCACTCTCAGAATAAGTCATGATATTCATGCTGTGTATAGCCTTATAGGCCAATGGTCAATCAAGTCATGATTGTTATAGTGTGTATAGCTTTATAGGCCGCTGTCTTTACAACTTTATAATTCTATGCAGTATATAGCCCTATCGGCCACTTTCTGGCATCCAGTTGCTGTAGCCCCCATCACCACACTGTGCCACGGGCCCCTGTACCGCCTTCTCATACTGCTGCCAGATCCATCCTCTGCCATGTGCGTCTTTGTCGTCTGCTCACGCTGCTGGGTTCCAGTTTTTAAACCTAGGCCTGTGTATGGCTTCCGAATACTGCTGCCTCCACCACCCACCCTGCGCCATGTGCCTCTGTCGTCTGCTCACGCTGCTGACGGCTTCCGCTTTTTAACCTAGGCCTGTGTATGGCTTCCGAATACTGCTGCCTCCACCGCCACCCTGCGCCATGTGCCTCTGTCGTCTGCTCACGCTGCTGACGGCTTCCGCTTTTTAAACTAGTCCTGTGTATGTCTTCCGAATACTGCTGCCTCCACCGCCACCCTGCGCCATGTGCCACTTTCAGGTCTCCTTACACTGTTGGTGGGTTCCATTTTGTGATAGGGTGCTGTATGGCCTTCCATTGCTGCTGCCTCCACCGCCACCCTGCGCCATGTGCCTCTGTCGTCTGCTCACGCTGCTGACGGCTTCCGCTTTTTAACCGAGGCCTGTGTTTGGCTTCCGAATACTGCTGCCTCCACCGCCCACCCTGCGCCATGTGTCTCTGTCGTCTGCTCACGCTGCTGACGGCTTCAGCTTTTTAACCGAGGCCTGTGTTTGGCTTCCGAATACTGCTGCCTCCACCGCCACCCTGCGCCATGTGCCTCTGTCGTCTGCTCACGCTGCTGACGGCTTCCGCTTTTTAAAACTAGTCCTGTGTATGTCTTCCGAATACTGCTGCCTCCTCCGCCGCCACCCTGCGCCATGTGCCACTTTCAGGTCTCCTTACACTGTTGGTGGGTTCCATTTTGTGATAGGGTGCTGTATGGCCTTCCATTGCTGCTGCCTCCACCACCACCCTGCGCCATGTGCCTCTGTCGTCTGCTCACGCTGCTGACGGCTTCCGCTTTTTTAACCGAGGCCTGTGTTTGGCTTCCGAATACTGCTGCCTCCACCGCCACCCTGCGCCATGTGCCTCTGTCGTCTGCTCACGCCGCTGCTGACGGCTTCCGCTTTTTAAACTAGTCCTGTGTATGTCTTCCGAATACTGCTGCCTCCACTGCCACCCTGCGCCATGTGCCACTTTCAGGTCTCCTTACACTGTTGGTGGGTTCCATTTTGTGATAGGGTGCTGTATGGCCTTCCATTGCTGCTGCCTCCACCGCCACCCTGCGCCATGTGCCTCTGTCGTCTGCTCACGCGCTGCTGACGGCTTCCGCTTTTTAACCTAGGCCTGTGTATGGCTTCCGAATACTGCTGCCTCCACCGCCACCCTGCGCCATGTGCCTCTGTCGTCTGCTCACGCTGCTGACGGCTTCCGCTTTTAAACTAGTCCTGTGTATGTCTTCCGAATACTGCTGCCTCCACCGCCACCCTGCGCCATGTGCCACTTTCAGGTCTCCTTACACTGTTGGTGGGTTCAATTTTGTGATAGGGTGCTGTATGGCCTTCCATTGCTGCTGCCTCCACCGCCACCCTGCGCCATGTGCCTCTGTCGTCTGCTCACGCTGCTGACGGCTTCCGCTTTTTAACCGAGGCCTGTGTGTTTGGCTTCGAATACTGCTGTATCCACCGCCACCCTGCGCCATGTGTCTCTGTCGTCTGCTCACGCTGCTGACGGCTTCCGCTTTTTAACCTAGGCCTGTGTATGGCTTCCGAATACTGCTGCCTCCACCGCCACCCTGCGCCATGTGCCTCTGTCGTCTGCTCACGCTGCTGACGGCTTCCGCTTTTTAAACTAGTCCTGTGTATGTCTTCCGAATACTGCTGCCTCCACCGCCACCCTGCGCCATGTGCCACTTTCAGGTCTCCTTACACTGTTGGTGGGTTCCTTTTTGTGATAGGGTGCTGTATGGCCTTCCATTGCTGCTGCCTCCACCGCCACCCTGCGCCATGTGCCTCTGTCGTCTGCTCACGCTGCTGATGGCTTCTGCTTTTTAACCGAGGCCTGTGTTTGGCTTCCGAATACTGCTGCATCCACCGCCACCCTGCGTCATGTGTCTCTGTCGTCTGCTCACGCTGCTGACGGCTTCCGCTTTTTAACCTAGGCCTGTGTATGGCCTTCAATTGAAGCTGCTTCTGCTCCGCCACTCTGCCATTGGACTCTTGATAGTCGTCTCCCCACGCTGCTGCGGGGGGGACTTTTTAACATAGGGCTCTGTATGGCCTTCAATTTTAGCTGCTTACGCTCCGCCACTCTGCCATGGGCCCCTGTACCGCCTCCTCATGCTGCTGCCAGGCCCGTAATCTGCCATGGGCCCCCGTACCGACTCCTCATGCTGCTGCCAGGCCCGTAATCTGTCATGGGCCCCTGTACCGCCTCCTCATGCTGCTGCCAGGTCCAGAGTGTGTCATGGGTCCCTGTACGGCCTCCCATTGCTGCTGTCTCCATCGCCACACTCTGCCATGTGCCACTTTCAGGTCTCCTCACACTGCTGGTGGGTTCCATTTTGTCATAGGGTGCTGTATGGCCTCCCATTGCTGCTGCCTCCACCGCCACACTGTGGCTCCACACTCTGGTTTTGGCCCCGTGACTGCCCAAATGAGTGAAGTGTGCGGTGATTCTAAGATCGACGGCACTCATCTGCATGTCATACTGACTGACAGTATTATTTCTCTTCCCCAGCAGACTCCAAGGGCATTTAAATTAAAGGTACAGTGTTCTGCACTAATATAAAGGCTCTCTGAAGCCTAGAAACACCCTTTTTATAAGTTAAATTCGCAGCGAATATATTCGGCACGAAGCAAATTTAATCGGCGAATTCGGCGAATCAGCCGAACCGAATTTTTGAATAATTCGCTCATCTCTATCCATCACATATATGAGAGTGAAGTTCCAAAAAAACAACATATAATATGCAGTGTCATGGATCTGTCTCCAGTACGAGATTCCGAACATGTTTTTACTACAAGCAAGTCTTCATCAGGGGGAAATTGAGGAGATACCTGCATATCTAGATAGAGAAATATGTACATGCAAGTAATGACAATGTAAAACATAACATAAAATAAAAAGTAATGAACACATTTAACAACAATAGTATTATGAAAACTTACAATCAACACGTGGTGACCATATTCCCTGTATGAGTGAGTTGCTTGGAGGCATCTATGTCCCCGCCCAGACCCTTGGGGCCCCCTAAGAGCCCTAACGCGGGCCAGGCGCAACTGGCTGCAACCATCCACAGCACAACTTGTAACATTAAAGGTGGAAATTACAAAAAACTCCTGTCCTCTTAGATTTCTATATTGTCACAAATGGGACACAAAGAAGACCAAAAGAACTGAATAAATGACCTTCATTATTTGTTCAATAATATCAGAGGGTCTCAAACTAGAGAGACTAATAGATAGAAGATTGATGTATCTGCAAATTGCCTCATATCTATATGTAGGGTAAATAACAATGTAGGGAAAATTTAATCATGATGGGTACAGATATGTGTATTTCTATTAGACCCCGTGTACACGGGACACTTCTGAACTATGGAAACTGACTGCTGGAAGACATAGGTTAAAACACGTTTGTTTAGCTGCTCACGCTGCTGAAGGCTTTATGCTTTTTAACCGAGGCCTGTGTTTGGCTTCCAAAATACTGCTGCACAGGACCACCACCCTGCCCATGTGCACTCTGAAAAGTGCTCAAATTGCTGACTATTCCGCTTTTTAGAAGCAGAGAGTCCAGTAATGTCTTCCGAATAACTGCTGCCTCCACCGACCCTGCGCCATGTGCCACTTTCAGGTCTCCTTTCCACTGTTGGAAAGGTTCCATTTTGTGATAGTGGTGCTTATGGCCTTCCATTGCTGCTGCCTCCACCACCACCCTGCGCCATGTGCCTCTGTCGTCTGCTCACGCTGCTGACGGCCGCTTTTTAACCGAGGCCTGTGTTTGGCTTCCGAATACTGCTGCCTCCACCGCCACCCTGCGCCATGTGCCTCTGTCGTCTGCTCACGCCGCTGCTGACGGCTTCCGATTTTTAAACTAGTCCTGTGTATGTCTTCCGAATACTGAACACTGCCGCAACCACTGCACCCTGCGCCATGTGCCACTTTCAGGTCTCCTTACACTGTTGGTGGGTTCCATTTTGTGATAGGGTGCTGTATGGCCTTCCATTGCTGCTGCCTCCACCGCCACCCCTGCGGTGGTAAATAACAGATGTAGGGAAAATTTAATCATGATGGGTACAGATATGTGTATTTCTATTAGACCCCGTGTACACGGGACACTTCTGAACTATGGAAACTGACTGCTGGAATGACATAGGTTAAAACACGTTTGTTTAGCCGCGTTTGCATAAAGCGTTTATGCGCGTTTGCGTTTAGAATTGTTTTTCAAAGATAAGCACTTTAGGAGAACCTCCCAAATGCCCAGAATGCACTGAAAAGTGGTAAATTATTAACTATTACAAAGTAGAAGCAGAGAGAGCAGTAAGTGTTGAGATAATTAGGGGTGTCCTTGCTTCTTAACATTTCTTTTGTTTCCAAGGGTGGGAAAGGTGTCTGTAGAGTGAGTCATTAAGGTCACCTGTAAAAAGTAGAAATATGCAAGCACTAATGTAAAATGACAGCAGCTAGGACACAAAAAGGTACCATAAAAACCTCTATAGATAAATAGTGATAGGGAATAGTGCAGCACTGTTGTATATATATATGCAGAAAATGAAAACAAAATAAATGATATAATTATAATCATAGATATTACAAACCAAACGAACACTGCCGCAACAAAGGTGCAATATTAATAAGGTGCAAAAAAAGATATAATAGACCACGGATATATGGTTATGGTGGCAGGTAAGTGAGAATGAGTCCAAATAGTAGACGTGAAGATCGTAGCAGATCTTGGTTAAAGATGCTCAATTTCTCAAGATCAGGAATGACCAGAGTGATGTGATTGAAAATAAGAGAATTGCGTCACCAGATGTGCGCTATCAAAATGCATTTGAGATCATTATCGTCTCATCCGGTCAGCCAGAACAATCACTCCCAGGTATGGTCAGGTTGCTGCGCCTGTACCTTTAAGGATCCCTCAAATGGTATCACTTCTCAGGACACTTCTAAAACGGCCTCTCGGTCCAGTATCTCTGTGCTATCTGTCGGTGCCCTCCTTCCTTCCTTCCTTTTCTCCCTTCCTTCCTTTCTTTCCTTCCTTCCCTCCCTGGTTCCTTCCTTCCTTTTCTCCCTATCCTTCCTTTCTTTCCTTCCTTCCCTCCCTCTGTTCCTTCCTTTCTTCCAACCTTCCCTTCCTTCCTTCCTCCATTCCCTCCCTCCCTTTTTTTCTTTCTTTCTTTCTTTTTTCTTTTGACATTTTCCTTTGACGAGTTTTTCTTTCTTTTCTTTCTTTCTTTGTGTTTTCCTCCTTCCTTCCTTCCTTACTTAATTCCCTCCCTTCCTTTCTTCCTTCCTCATCCATATTCTTCCTTCCTTCCTTCCTTCCTTCCTTCCTTCCCCTCCAGCAATAGCTTTCATGAGTGCAGCCAAAAAAAAATGTGTGCATTAATTTTTCCAGAGTAGAGAATCGAAGTTACTTGCTTTTCTTTCCATGCAGTATCTGTACTTGACCTTTTGCAGCCCAAAGCGCAAAGTTTTTAAAGGTAATGTGTGATGGTTTTGCCAAGGAAAAAATGCTACTGTGAGCATTCATAAGATATTCCATTTTCTCCATCTTCACAAAACCAGCCTCATGAGATGAGGGTGAGCCTTGGGATACTGAACAGACAACTAGCAAAAATGCAACAGAGGACACTACAGCCGATCTGCTCCTTCAGAATATAACCACCCTCTTGGATGTCAAGGTTACATGAACTTCAATGCAGGAACTGCTCAACAGGAGTATAGTGCTGAGTCAGATTGTAATGAGCTCTCCAAAAGGTGGCAGGGACAGTCTATATAATCCTTGAAGTGGTACTTTACCCTTAACAACTAATAAATATATGCTCTTTATTAACCACTTGCCTACTGGGCACTTATACCCCCTTCCTTACCAGGCCAATTTTCAGCTTTCAGCGCTGTTGCATTTCGAATAACAATTACGCGGTCATGCAACATAGTACCCATATGACATTTTTATCATTTTTTTCTCACAAATAGAGCTTTCTTTTGGTGGTATTTGATGACTGCTGGGTGTTTTACTTTTTGCGCTATAAACAAACAAAAAAAAATTTGGAAAAAAAGTTTCTTTGTTTCTATTATAAAATTTTGCAAAAAGGTAATTTTTCTCCTTCACTGATGTGCGTTGATGAGGCTACACTGATAGGTGGCACTGATGGGCACTGAGAGGCAGCACTGATGGGCACTGATAGGCAGCACTGATGGGCACTGATAGGCAGCACTGATTGGCACTAATAGGCAGCACTGATAGGCAGAACTAATGAGGTGGCACGGATAGGCGGCACTGATGAGCTGGCACTGATGATGGGTACTGATAGTTGGCACTGACTGGCCGCACTGCTGGGCACTGACTGGTGGCACTGCTGGGCACTGACTGGCGGCACTGCTGGGCACTGGCTGGTGGCACTGCTGGATTACACTGATGGGCACAGGTGGGTGGCACAGCTGGGCACAGGTGGGTGGCACTGCTGGGCACAGGTGGGCGGAACTGGTGGGTGGCACTGCGGGGCACCGAACATCACCGATCATTGGTTCTGATCCCTGCTCTGACAACTGTCAGTTCTCGGCAGTACTTTCCTCAGGCTCTGACAGCGTGAGGAAAGTGCAGCTGAGAACCGGCAATTGCATTTCCCGGTGATCAGCGTGTCATTGGACACGGCTGATCACGTGGCAAAGGCCGCTGTGATTGGCCTTTTACCAAATCATGTGATCAGCTGTGTCCGTAGAAACACAGCGGTCATAGAGAACGCCGGGTGCGCGCCGCCGGGGGGCTTACAGGAGAGCGCATTCTGGAAGGACATCATATGACACCCTCCCAGAATTGGCCAGCCACAGTGCAGCCATCATTCGGCTATGTGCGGTCGGCAACTAGTTAATTATGCTACCAAAATCAGTATGTGCTGTAAATTGCCTCTGGCATTGTTCCTCTTTCTTCTTGCTAAAGGCTGCCATTTTACTGAAGCCTAGAGCTACTGAGCAGCAGTAAATCTGTAGGCTGTCAGTAGATTGGTGTCTAGTGGCTCTGATTTTCAGCACAGTGCTGAAAAATCAAGAGCAACTGATCATGTGCAGAGCAGGGTGAGACAATGTAATACTGGATTTTTTTTAAACACTATAGGTACTTATTTTTAATGTTTTACATAGCTATACCTGCAAAAGGAATCATCCTGAAGTTATCTAACAGGATTTAAGTTTCTGACTAAAGTTCTACTTCAAGGCAAGTACTCACTGTGCACTGGGTACTGTAAAGCCTCTGCAGTCTCTGCACTTGGTGCCTGTGGCCCGGATCCCCTATAGAGACTTCTGCACTGCTTCAAGATACATTTGAAGGAGGTCCCTGAACTCCAACTTGAGCTGGGACCCCAAAATGATATCTTCAATGCTGTAGCCAGCAGTCCAGAGGTGCTTCAGCCCTCAGACTGGGTCTTACTCCCCAATGAACAAGAGGCTGCCATTCCAGACCTCAGCCTATCCACACCTCCTCAGCCTCCTGTTGGTTACTCACTCTCCTGACCAGGGATTGGCTGAGACAAGATGACTATGCAGGCCAGGGTCTTACTCCCCCACCCACTCCAAACTATTGTCTCAGTGAATCAGGCACATATTTATCACCATATGCTATGCGGAGGGGCAGCAGAGAGATAAGTCTAGTTACCCCAGTAAGTTTAAGTTGACTAGACTCGGAGCCCATTTACACTTTTCCATTTGCGTGCATTTTGGTAATGTATGCAAAAGTGCAATGCATGTTAAAACATTTTCCACGTATTTGCATGTTGCTGTTCCATTTCTTTTAATGGCATCCCAATGCATTACTCAATTCAAATCAGATTCAAATGCATTGCAGTGCACCACAACACTCAGTAACACACTACCCTGTGTTGTGGTGTCTACGTGTACTTGAATGGAACGCCTTAACACAATGTGTGTTAACATATGACATATAACAGGCATGCATAAGTGAACTAGGACTGCAAAGTGTGAATGGGCCCCAAACTTAAAGCTTGATTGTAGGAAATTAAGAAGATGTAAACCCAACATGTCATTTTCCTGATTTGTGCCTGCTGTACCATGTACTATAGTTGTATGAAAAAGTATCCTGTTCTTCTTGTATTGCTTCCTTTGTGTAAAATCCCTGGTGTTCCTGCCAGCCCCTCTGCTTTCCTATTAAACACTGACCACACTAGGCACAAGAGCACAGCGTGGTCAGTTTTCTAGCTATGATGGGAACTCAGCCTGCTCTTCCCCAATGATGAGACTTGACCTGACAAGCCATCCCCACATCCACCCCCCACCCAGCCTTTCACTGGGAAGTTCAGTGTTCTCCTGTTTCTCATCCCCTAGCTCCTATGCAGCTGAGAACAGAGAATGTGATCATTTATAAATAAAAGGGGGGGGGGGGGGGGAAGGTATTTATAATGGTTTTATATCTATGCACAAATGTTTTTCCTTTCATTTCTATTTTAAACTGACTGGGTTGTTTTAAAAGGCAGGGGTTTACGATCACTTTAAGTAGATGAAAGCCTTTGAGACTGCTGAAATCCAAAAATGTGACCCAGATATAATAATGTTTGATTAATGGAAGACCCTCATAGGAGGGAGTCTATAACAAATTTGGGATTAAAGCCTACCTATCTCTTTTAATCTCCACCCTATAAAAGGGTATATCTTGGGTGAGGACATGCCTGCAACTTAAAAGGAGGAGCTTAGTACAGTTGAAGCAACTTTGTGCATCGGGGGCACAGGTGTACCTAAATGTAGTATTATTGAGCAATGCCTTTTTAAGACCAGCAATAGTACCTGAAATCTATGAAGTTAATGTGATGGATAAAAATCATAAAGTGAAGGATACTTGAATCTGTAACAATAATGAGAGCTTCAGTGGCTGAAGCATGACCAGATTGTTGTCTTCAATCTTTCTAATGCCTGATAAGGCTAAAAATTCAAGGCATGAGCAAAACATAATTGTTCCACATGCACAGAGGTAAGGAACAA